CAAACAATTAAATCAAATAATTGAAATAGGGATTTGGGACCAAACCCTCAGAAATATCAAACCTTTCACGTCTAGGGCAAAGAAAACTTCGAACTTGGGTAGGTGTTTCTAGAACTAATGTATGAGGAAATTTGCAAAAGGGAAGGAAGGTTTTAAAAAAGAATAGAGAGAGAGAGAAGATTCTAGCTTTTAGAGAGAGAGAGAAGATTGTAGATGTAGATGATTTGAAAACAGGGAGATTACACCCTATTTATAAAAAAATAGCACGGGATCGAAGAAAATCATATTCGGAATAAAATACCTCCTGTCGCAAACGACGGGAGTCAGCGCCAAATGACAAGCTCGTCGCCAGACGACAAAGGCCAGCGCCTGGCGACGTAGGTCGGTGCCTGACAACGACTCTGTTGTCTCGCGCTGGTCCAAAAATGAACGCGCTTTTCCACGCGTAATTACCTTTGACACCGGGGTAATTAAACGTCCGAGCAGTTTTCAAAATCAGATTTAATATATTTCATTTTAAATAAAAATCTTTAAAATATGATTAATAGGCCTTCATCTAGATCATCGGGCCACCTTTAAAAATTATTGGGCCTAATCTAATTTAATCCATAACTTTCTCATAAGTCACCGGAATTGGGCCTATAATATATCATTGGAAAGCTCTTTGCGAGCCCTATCCAACTACACTATTATTGGACCCTTATTATGGACCAAACTAAATTGGACTGAATATTTTTCATAAAAAGGAGTAAGAAAAGAAATATTTTAGAAAAACAGAAAGAGAAATATTTTAATAAAAACATCCTCATCTTTAGACTTTCCACACTTTCACTTTGTTCGATAATCAAATGACGTGAAAGGTATTCATCACTGGGTTTGGTTTTGGGGAGACACATTCGGGTGTCTACAACTTATTTTTGGTGGATCGCTCAAATGTTGTATTATTTTTGATTAATTTTCCTTTCATTTATTTATGAAATAATCATAGGTAATTATTTTTTAATATTAAGTACAATGAGCAGTTAATGTTTGGGTTGGTGAGTACATAGAGGAAGCAAATTAAAATAAATAGAAGCTAGATAAAGGCAAGATGAGTAGTACAAGAAATAAACACATAATTTAACGTGGGAATAATTATCAAAATACCCACGAATGACGAGAACCAAAATAATCCACTAAATGAAAATAGGAGAGTACAAGAACCTTAGTAAGTAGTACAAGATTCATCTCAGTATAGAAAGTCACAAAAAGTAGTATTAGAGAGTCCCTAAAATTAGACTTTCGGTTATGTTAATATTCTTTGTATAGTTTATCTTTTGGTATATATCAGGTAAAGGTATCTAGGAGAGTTAGGGTTGTCTATTGATTTTACTACATACATATTTTTGTGAATACCAATATATATATATATATATATATATATGCAAAGTTGTTTTCTTTGATCTTTCTTGAGTTTAATATGGTATCACAACCTCTTCGATTTCTAGATAACTTTTCTCCGATCCTAGTTTGTTCATCAAATTGTACAAAAATAGAAATAGTGAGTTCGTAGAGAGGGTAAATTGGTAGAGAATTATAAAGAGGTGAAAGGCTTGTGTATGGTATTACTTCTTGTGTGTGTATATGTGTAAGTATTTTGATTGAATGCCCATAACATATATTTATAGTTGTAGATGGAGCTTGGAATAAATGGCCGGAAGATTCCTGAAATTACTTCATTATTCTTGTATCCAAGATGTTCTACAAAATTCACAAACCATATTTCTAGTTACTTCCAATGTCAAGAATTTTCTAGATCATTTTCGTGGCTTGCATGATACACGCTAATAGAAAAATCTAGAGAACTAAGGAACAATACCAACCATGCTACATGTATTTGGAATCATCTAGAATATGAAAAATACTCCGTCAAAATAATGGGCCTATTGACATTTGGGCCACACCCAACTAACCTTGCCACCAAACTTATCAATATAATCTTACAGAAATCTTTAATGTGTGAACACTCTAATTAACCTTTGTCTCTGATACCAATATTATTCCACGTTAAATATTGTGTGTTCATTTTTTTATTACTTGTCTTACTTTTGTCTTTCTCCTAATTTTCTCAATCTCCACAATTTTAATTTGCTTCCGCAACACACTTATATTAATTCTAACAGTTAATGAGTACAAAGGTGGTTATTGGTTTGATTATTTCACAATTAAAAAAATAAAATTAAAAAAGCCTAAAATTGCGAGGATGTGAATTTAGAGTGTTGTGGATAAAAGTTGGAAAAAATTCATAAATCATATAATAGATGTCTCTCTTTTGCATTACAAATGTGGGTTTTTTTTCTTGTTTGATTTGGATGAGATGAGTACATAATGTATTGTTTAATAATTCCTCCGTTCTAAATTAGATGACACAGTTTGATTTTGTTCACTATTCATATAGCTTCTTTTTTTGGATGGAATTCACACAGTTCTAAATCATATAATTCCTCCTTATATGTAATCAAAGATATTTGTGTTATAAGGTATGCATTGACAAACGTGACAACTCTTAAGGACCAATGCCATTTACTATTCATGGTTAAACAGATCTTAGAAGGGCCAAGCCGCTAATATAGTTAATATACCATTGTAAGTCACAAGATCAAACAAGTATGAATAAACTTTATACTTAACACATTATATACTTATAAAGTGTAGATTTTGTAACTCGTTTTTTTTATACAAAATATGTAAGGTTTTTGTTTTTTGTTTTTATTTTTTATTTTTTATGGGAATGTAAGTTTTCTTCAATACTAAAAAAAAAATGTCAACTAATAAAGAGAAAAAAAATCAACTAAGAGAAACTTTAAAATATCATTTACTCTTGTATATTTTTTTTATCTTTAAGGTAAGATGAAGGTCCGATTCTTACTGAATCAATACCCATCATAGGTTAAGCCAATCCAGCTTCGCAGATCAACGCTTGATAGTAGAGGGAGTAGGTAATAAGAGAATCCACTAGTTGAACAATGTCACAATGTGAGTTTTCCACCAACTCTACCAAACTTGTATATATTAGACGGATCTCTATGATACAGTGTTTTATATCTCCTTTCACTCTTAACCAGTATTTCGCTACGTATATGCGTTGGGGCCTACATCATAAATACGAGAAGTCAAAAAACAGATCTGTCATTTTATAAATGACAAGTTTTGGATATGACTGTGAAGCCTAATCCCAAAACACGTTACGTTGGTGGGCGTTCATCGAATTAGTAAAAAGAACTGATTATTTGTTGGTATAATGGTGATTGAGACTACACCTGGTAGGGAGGACCGCCTGTTCGATCCCCCGCAACAACAATTGGGAATGGATTCAAATCTAACCACCCATAATAATCCCCGAATCTTGATTAGCCCAAAGGGTGGAACGCCAAAAAATAATTATTATAATAAAAAATTTACCTTTTAGTCATTGACGTTAGATTTATGCATGAAATAATAATAATAATAATAATAATAATAATAATAATAATAATAATAATAATAATAACTATTTACCATTTAGTCATTGACTTTGTGCTGGTATTGTGGGCATTAAACATTGGCATAATGTTGTTCAGGATACCCTTATTGATGTTTGCTATCGGTCAAGGATTTTAGCTAGAAAGGAGGTGGACATTGGGTGATCTAGAGGGAGCAGATGTGTTACTTTATTCATGGGATTGTGGTCGCGATGTCTATGTTGACTTGACAGGGTCTTCTCCTTTGACACAATCTGGGCTTTCTGACTTTGTTCCTGGACGGGTAGTGACTGATGCTGTCAACCGAAAGCAGATCAAGTACGAATCCAATTGTCAAGCAATTGGATATGGCTTCCTTCCTTTCTCTTTCTCTTCTCTTGGGGAGTTAGAAAAGGACGTTATTGCATGGCTGAAGCGGATCCAGAAGTTCTCGAAGATTCAGAATATTGGGGCGCGTGTTGTAGTTCATATCTTTACTAGGATCGGCTTTTCTATAGCTAGAGGAGTGGGGCCCAGATTGTATCTCTGCTTCCCACTAATTTTCTATTGGTTGTATAACTTTGTATGTTTTTGAGATATAATAATAATAATAATAATAATAATAACAATAAATTATTAGCATCCATGTTCGAACCTATGGCCTCATGCTTATTATACTTTAATATAAAGTATTATTTCAATGACACATCTCATATTTACAAAGCAAATTAATAATTTTAAATACTAGGTTTTGGATAATATATTTTGATGTACAATAATAATTGACAAATTGTATTTAAGTAGTACAAGTACTGAAGTAAATGTAGCTAATTTGATCTATATTTGTATTTTATCACATAATTTTTATTATAAAACATCATTTATAATATACATATAATGACTCGAGCGTTGCCCGAGCCAAAAACTAATTTCCCATGAAAATCTATTTAATTACTCAACCCAGTAATAGAATCTCTTACTCACTTCCCTCCTTTTAGTTGTGTATTCACGAAATTACCCCCACCCATCAACCTACCGATTTTAGGTTTTTCCATGCTCTATTATCATCACTTTTCACCTTTTCAAGTTACTTTAAAATTTGCTAATTTTTTTTTTACTTTGGCTCAATGTTGTGTATGATTTGTGTTTGTTCAGTTTACATGTAATTTTTTTTTTTAGTACTTAGAGAGCCACAAGGGCGGGTGATGTAATTTAGCTTAAACACTAAGTTTCTTCCACATAAAATTTCTCTCTCATTTTTTTCCCACTTTCTCTCTCTCAATAGCCAAGCAATATGGTGAACTGCTAGATTTGCTCTAAAAACCCCCTGCTTACTCTGATTAATCACTTATCCTTAACATAATTACTTCTTCAAATTGTGCAATATAACTTGATAACAAAGTAACATATCATCCATAATTACTTATACATATGTAACATAGGCAAAACATCATGCTTAACATTTTAAGATCAAAATATTAGATGAGATTACGTGACAAATTACACATATCAAAACTGATAAGTAAAAGACAGTTATTTTAAAGATCATAGATAGTCAGGTAGGTATATCAAAAGATAGTCAACCAAGTGGAATATAATCCTTATTGAACTTATATGAGTTGATGCTCAGACTTGCTCAACCCATAGTTCTTCAAGACCCTTGTAGCCAGCAAATGGTACCCTGTCCGTGCCTTTAACAAATTTTTCCTGCATCCCCCAAAGAAAAGGTATTTAACATGCGCAAAACCAACATGACACCCTAGCTAGCATATATATGCATTCATCTAAGTCAGCCCAACAATCGAGTAATGAAAATATGCATTCAATTATATAGATCACCAGACTGAAACCATAGGCAATGTCAGATTGCATTAAGAATTAAGATGGGTACTTACCTGCTTAATCTCTGAAAGTTTGCAGAGTAAATTTTCTGTTATTGACCAATCAAAAACATCCAAATTCTCCTTCAATCTTGCTTCATTTGAGGTTTTAGGCAGTACACTATGGCCCTTCTGAAGCCCCCAGCGAAGAGCTATTTGTGCAGGAGATTTTCCTAGTTCCTTTGCAACCGTAGTGATAATAGGATCGTCAAGAATCAAATTATTTTTTGCACCAGCAACTTGAGAACCCAGAGGTGAATATGCCTGAGAGGCAAGAAATTTACTAGAAATTCTTTTAAAATCTTTAAGCAAAACTGCAAAAGGCTAGGGATACGCCAGTATATAAACTACAAATAGTAGCGAGACTAGTGACAAAACCACACATATTTACAGGCATATCATATTTGAAAGCACTACAAAATCATCAAATTGGGAGGTTGAGACACTTACAGATAGATGAATGCTCTTTGTTTTGCAAAATTCATGCAGCTTCTCTTGTTGCCACATAGGATGAAGTTCAACTTGGTTTACAGCAGGAGTAACACGGGCAGATTCAAGAAGGTTTTCGAGCATCCTTATTGAGAAATTGCTAACTCCAATGGCTCGAACCCTACCTGAATCATAGAGCGCCTCCATTGCTTTCCATGTACTAGGTATGTCTGCTGGAACGTATCTCCCAGGATCGTTACCATATAATCCCTTTTTCTCCTTTACTGGCCAGTGGATCTTTTCACGGTTCCACGAAAAGGCATTAGTATGATAAATCAGAATTTAAATAGATTGATTAAAAAAAGAACCATTAAGTAAGTTCTCTATTAAAATTAGTTACATACAAGATATAGGTCCAAGTATTCAAGTTGTAGGTCACTCAAAGTCCTATCTAGCGCCTTTGGAACATCTTCTGGTTCATGATCAAAGTTCCTGCATAATCACATGAACCAAGTGATAAATGTTCATCCTTCATGCTAAACATAATCATCTTCTTATATTATAACATAAAATAAATAAAGAAATATACTGAGAAAAATTCTAGCCAGGCTTATTTACAAGATTTTAGTCAGAATAAGCCTTTTAAAGTTTTAATATTCACCATAGTTTGGAGGTGATAAATAACTCATCTCGCTTCATTATCCCATCTTCAAACAACTCCTTTAAAACAACTCTGATCTATTTATTAATCAAGGAAAGCATTATCTTGTGAGCAAGAATGGGGGAAAAATTCAGTCAATTTGGAGTAGATCTTTATGATACAACAAAAAAAAATTAGAAGGAAAAAAAAAAAAAACACAGAAGACACTATAAAGAGAACAGTGAATCTTTATGGTTAAATTTTGTTAATTACCTCCTTCTCATTTCTATAGATATGTGCACAATCGATGTGTCGGTAACCCAACTGCATCAGATAGAATAAGTGAGCTAAAGCAGAATGAGCTAACATATGCTTTGACTGTTAAATCACATTAAGAAGCTGATACCCTAATAGGTACATATCTTTATAATTCGTATATGAATTACTGATACATTACATTTATATTCAGAATCATGACTGCCTCCTCTTATCTAAGTAGTCTAGAATTAATCTTACAAACAATAAATAAATAAATAAATAAAAAGCAGTTAGATGGGAGCTACTATGGATACAGACTAATGATGAGGCAAACTGTGGCTATAGATGGACGATATCATGTCATTCTGAAGGTACTCGCGTTTATGCTCCTCGATTCCTCGAAGATATGATGAATATCACTGAAGACCACACTAGGACTATGTTTGTTACAGCTGAAAACTTCTAAATGTATGTAATATGCAGTTGAGACAAAATGACCTATTGAACTTATAAAACTTATTTTAATTTTGGGATTAAACTTGTTAGCCATTACATAAGCCTATTAGCCCTTTTACACTTTTACAGATTCATTGAACTTCAAATTAATTTTTTCCACCAAGATGAAAAGAAATATGCTTAAATCAAATGTTGCAAAACTATCTATTTCAATCACCCTACTAAAATCCTGCAATGTGTCTTTCTTTTTCTTGTTTTGCTTTTCTTTTTTGAAAAATTTGAAAAAATACCACCATCCATGGGTTCACATTTTGTACCATACCACCTCAAGTTTTTTTTTTTTTTTTTTTGAAAACTAGGTGGTAAAAAAATAATAAAAAAAAAACTCGGACCACTTTTTCCCAACTACCCTATATGACGTCATGGTAGGTCCCATGACCAATTGTACCTCTCTTTCCCTCGATTCTCACCTCGGTTCTTCCTTCTTCATCCTCTTTGTCTAATTTTAAAATCAATATGTGAATAAATTAGGCGTTATTTAGGGTTTTAATTTGCTAATTTGTTCTTCAAGTCAAACGACAATGCAAAATCAAGGGCATAATCATTTTATAGAGAGCTTTGTTTAATTAGGGTTTATAAAATCAATTTGTGGGTGTTTCAATTGAAATTAGGGTTTATGAATTAAATTTGGAAAATTGATTTTAGGGTTAATTAGTTGCAAAATTGTTAATTATGATGATTAGGGAAGAAGAATGGTGAAATTTGAAGGAAGAAAGAAGGAAAATTGGTTAGTAGACCCACCGTGACATCATATAGGGGAGTTGGGCAAAAGTGGTGAGAGTTTTTTTTTTATTTTTAAGAAAACTAGGTGGAAATATACAAACAAAAAAAATTAAAAAATAAATAAATAAACAAAATATTTCGTGTATATATATATATATAAAATAAAAAAAAATAAAAAATAAAAAAAAACCTTGAGGTGGTATTGGTACAAAATGAACAATAGATGGTAGTATTTTTCAAATTTTCCTTATTTTTTTTTTTGAGAAAATCCGATATGTATTTTGTGGCCTTTTTAAATTCTTTGCAAGTTAGTCTTCCAAAACAATTCCACCTTTTAGTTCACCCCAACCAAATTCAAATAACTATTTAGCAGATTTTTGGAAAAAAATTGTAAAAAATAATCTCAACTTTACTGTATTTGTTTTAATATCCCAACTTTAAATTATTTTAAAATAATCCGAACGTTAAGGGCTATTACTTTCTTCAATACCAATTACTAGTTATCTGTTGAAAATTAATTTCTTTTCATTTTTTTTTTAGAAATTCCACGTGTCAAGAGAAAATTAGCCAAAAAAATTCAAATTTTTTTAAAAAAACACAAAATTATGAAAAGAACCCACATAGCCCCCTCACGTCAATTATTACCATTAGGTAAGGCTGAGCAAAACTAATTGAAAACTCGATCCATAATCGTTCGGATAACCATAACGGTTCGGGTATCCGTTCCGATAGTTTGTAATCGGGTATGGTTATTGTGTATCATTTTAAAATAAATGGCTACTCGATTTTATCCGATAAGCATTTTTTGTTGCTTTTACTACTTAATTATTTTTTTTTAATATCTAAACTCTTACTTTATTTCATAATCACTTTATAATATCAATGATTACTAATATTATTAATAATTTGGACAAGATCATATGGTATTGTTGTTAATTAGTATTAAATGATATCATAATAACTACATTATTAGGTTTAATTATCATTATTAGATATCTTATTTGGTACTCAATAACCGATCCGAAAATTCGGGTACTCGATGTTCGGGTACCCAAACTTATTAGTTCAGTTTATGGATATCACTTTTAGTGATTTTGATTAACGAATACCCGAACCGTTAATAATAACGGTATGGGTACCCACCCCATGCTCACCCCTAGACTATTAGTTATCACTAGAGTACCATGCTTATAGTACTCCAACATATTAAGTGAAATAACATATCATTAAAATAAAATAACATAAAAAGTTTTGAAAGTATATAAATGAAAATAAACCTAAATGAATCAAAATTTCAATTTCATTTCTCTCTGCACTTTCTCTTTCCCTATCTTTTCTCTCTAATTTCTTAACCCACCATTTTAGCATTATCAAATCCTTCAATTTTCACAACAAAAGTCACAAAAATTCTTTTGATTATTATTTTAACCACCCAAACAAGTACAAAATTGCTCAATCGAAGTTGAAAATCAATTTACTACATAAAAATGGTTGAAATTCATGAATAATATAAAGATACAACAATCGTGAACAAGAATAAAACAAAGTAAGTAGATTTAAATTTGTTTTTTATTTTAATTTAATTATTTGAAATTGTACTGCTAATTTGAACTAAATATGTTAATTTGATTTGATTCAGTTGAATCTATATTATTTTTGAATTTGCAAAAACGTTGTGTTATTTTATGCAAACTTTATGTTATTTTACTAATTAAAATACTATGTAATTTTGCTAAATAAAACGTTATGTTATTTTACACAAACCTTGTATTGTTGTTTTGCTAATATAACCTTATGTTATTTTGATAAAACATTGTATTACTTTACGTAAACCATGTTTTATTTTTGATAAATTCCAGTGTTATTTTACATAAACCTTAATCCGTGTTGTTTTACTATAAAGTTGTGTTATTTCACGCAAACCTTATGTTATTTTGCTGAAATCATTTGTTATTTTGCTAAAAGAATGTGTTATCTTGAACTTTGTGTTATTTTGCTTCGGCCTTATGTTATTTTTTCAAATGTGTGTTATAATTTTGGAAAATAACACCACAAAGAAAACCCAAATTTTGATTACAACACCATCAAAAAAAAGTTTTTATTATAACATCACAAAATAACCCTAAAAATTGATTTCACCACAACTTAACGAATTCTTGGATGGATTCCTTTAGTGGCACTCACAATAGACACTTGTCACCAACCTATTGGTTTTAAAAAAATTAATACACTCCTGCCCCACCAAAACCGACGAAATCCTCCCATCCCCTCCTCGAAAATCACCCCTACCTAGCATTACCACCACAAATCACCATCTACCACAACAACATCACCGTCACTGGACCGCCGAAATCCCAACCAATTCAAACCTCAAACCCCAACCAATTTGTTCCACCACATATACCGACCACAATCACAACGAATTTTGACAACAACACCTTTGAACCACCGCAAAAGGTGGGATTGGTTGTCAATCTGGAGTGGCGCGCGGAGGTGGTTGCGGGGTTGCTGGGTGCGAATTCGTGAACCTCTCAACGCAGCTATGCCGGTGGTGAAGCTGGCTGGGTTTTGGGTCTCGGGTTTTTCTTTCTTTTTCTTAATTTTTCTTTTTATTTTATTAAATTATTATTTTTAAACCAATAAGCACTTGACACGTGCCATGTATGGCCTCACTAACGGATTTCATCCAAAAATCCGCTTTGAGGTGGTGAAATCAAAATTTTCGGTTTTTTTTTTGTGATGTTATAATCAAAATTTGGGTTTTTATTGTGGTGTTATTTTCTAAAATTTTCTTATTTTATATACAGCAATATGTTATCCCTCTTTGAAAAAAAACCTCAATTAATTTTCAGTAAATTAATTTCTATGTCAAATTTTGTTTGCAAATTCTGATAAACTTGTTCGATTCTTTTTCTCTTCTATAAATAACACCATCTTCATTCAAATTGCTATTCAAATTTTATCAAATTCGCACAAATATAAAATGCTCAATTTGATTTTTAGGGTTTTAATTTTTCTGGTTTTGCACATTTGAACAATTAGCTCTTTAATTCAACAAAAATTCTTAATGATAAACTGAACGAAGAAGATAGATCTTAAATGTTGCAAATGAATTATGAGATTATTTGAATAATTTTGAAAAAGAAAATAAAAAAAAAGTAAGACAGAGAACAGCAAAAAAAACATAAATAGAGAAAGGATTTTTTAAAATTGAAACGTTAACGTTTTGACCCCCTAGTTCATGGTACTCCAAGAGTACTATAAAATTGTGCCCTCGCGTTTCACAACCCAACCAAACCCCACCCCAAAAGATCCGGCCACCCAACCTTGGACGTCAGGCAGGCTGTCCCCACTCCGTCACCCCCTCTCTCCCCCCACGCTAGTAAATCGCAGTCCCCTCCTTATTCCCCACACGCAGCACAACAAACAACAGTTCCACACCCAATCCACGCAACAACAACTCCACATTTGGCACGGGTCAGGGGATCAAGGGAAATTTGAACACTCAACCCAATTTACTTCGAAATTGGAGCAGCCAAAACGAGGAAGGGGAAGGGAAGGAGGCGGGGAAGGGAGGGGGAGGGGTTTCGAGGGCAAGGAAGGAAATTTACAAAAATTGGTGGTTATTGGTGAGATGGGAAGCTAGGCGGTGGTGTTTAGTGGCGGCTGGTTGCATTGGAAATTTAGGGGTGGTGGTTCAAGGGAAAACGACAACGCCAAAGAAAACAAGGACGCGACGGTTCGGCGAGGGAGGGTTGTCGGGTTGGGCAGTGGTGGTGGAGGTTAGGGTGAGTCGATGGGGGAAAGGGAGGCTGGCTTATTTTTGTAATTTTGGGTTTTTTTTTCTTTTTTTTATTAATTTTTAGACCAGGACTTAATACGTGTCAAGTAACCTGATAGAATAAGTTATTGACTTTTGTTGACATGTATTAAGCTTCCTCTCATGATCTCACTCAAACCCACTACTATTTTTTTTATTATTATTTCTCTCCACTTACTTTTTTTTTTCGATTTAAGTCAATGAAGGAAGGGAGAAGATGGCGTCGGCGGAGTGTATTTTATATATATTTTTATTCTCTGTCACATGGTCATATTTGAGCTCTACGGAGCTATTTTTATTACTAATATACGTTTTCTAGTGTTTTTGTAGAGTTGGTATTATTTTGTAGGAATTTGCAGATTTATGATAATTCCCGAGCTTATTGAGCCACTACAAAGATATTGGAGTGTGATCGTATTTTATGACCGTATATTTAAATCTCAAGGCCGAGTTAAAGAAATTTAGTTCGGTGAATAAGGGCTTAATTTGTGAAGAGATTCAAATTAATATTTCGGATCAAGTAATGAGCAAGCAAATTAAGTATTTTGGGCCCAAAGCAAAAAGAAGCCCAGTCCCCAAAAGAAAGTCAGTTGGGCGAAGTTTTAACAGGCCCGATTTGGCGGCCCAACGCCGGATCAGTCCTAACTCTTATGTAGGCTGCTTCAATTCTTTTAGAGTTTTATTGTGTGTGGGATTGGTGGGCTTGTTTCCTATATAATAGGAAGAGTAGTACGTGGTTAGGGAGCTTTAGTTTTAGGTAGATTTCTTAGAATTAGTTTTAGTTTATCTTTTGTCAACTCTTGCTATGATTTTATTTTAGTTTGGTATTCTTTTAATCTTGTTTATTTCCTATTTATTGTATAGTTTTAATTATGTGCGAGTAGTTTAATTCTAGGGTTATGGGGATTCATAAATAATATGAAGGAATGATTTATTATTATTGATTGTCAATGCCTGATTAATTTCCTATTGATTGATTTAATGCTCTGTGACTAGATTATGCCTGATCTTTTATGCATGAGTTTGACAATATTGATTCAAGATTCGAGAGATGAGAATTGATGTTTAGGTCTAGTTTCAATAGGCAAGTTAATTTATAAATGGTTAAGTCGAGATTCGAGAGATGAGATTTAATGACGATAAATTAATTATGTGATTGTAATACGTAGCGAAAGCCCTTTATGATCTGATTAATTGATGCATTGACGATTGATTATTATGTTTTACCCTGTAATATTATTTATTGGTGAACCTATGCCCTAGGTTTTTTATTCATTGTTTCTCCTCCTACTTTTATTCTTTCCCACTTTTACTCTTAGTAGTTTAGTTTTCCTTCGATAATAATAATTTGTTACTATATAATCTAGATTATATTAATTAATTAGGAATAAAAAAATTTGTTTCCCTGTGGATTCGACCCTACTTCCTTATCTATTTTAGTTAGTGGATTTAGGAATTACTTTTCATTAGGTGATACGACTTTAGCCTGTCATACAGCCATACAGATTGTACTCGTACATTGTATTCTTTTGAAATAAAATAAGAATAATTTGAAAAATACCACTATCTATTGTTGTCATTTTGTACAATACCACCTCGAGTTTTTTTTATTATATTTTTTACCACCTAGTTTTATAAAAAAAACACTAAAAACTACCACCCCTTTTGCCCGACTCTCCTATATAACGTCACGGTGGGTCCCACTAATTAATTTTCCTTCAAATTTCACCCTTTTTCTTCCCTAATCATCCTAATTAACCAATTATACCCTCGATTATGCATTGTTGTTTGGCTCGAAGAACAAATTAGCGAATAAAAACCTCGAATAACGTCTAATTTGCAAATTAATACTACCTCTGTTTCATATTATTTGCAACGATTAGACATTTAAACCTCTCTACTTTATGTCAAATCGTTGCAAATAATATGAAACGGAGCTAGTATTTAAATTAGACAAAGAGTAAGAAGAAGGAAGAATAGAGGTGAGAACCGAGGGAAAAGAGAAGAACAATTGGCAGTTGGACCTACCATGACATCATATAGGGAAGTTGGACAAAAGAAGTAGTAGTTTTTAGTGTTTTTGATAAAAACTAAACTTGAGGTGGTATTGTGATAAATGACAACAGGCGGTGTTTTTCAAATTTTTCATAAAATAATGAATAAAATAGAACTTTTCACTTCAACTACTCTATTTACAACGTTTATGTTTGGGTCTACAAAGTACATTTTTTTGACTAAATTAACCAAAATTTGCAACAAAATTAACTTCTATCTCATAGAAATTAACAGATGACTAATCAAAAATCAAACAAAATTCCATTAATCTACTGAAACAATAATGGCCAATTAATCAAAGTACAGTAATAATACAGAGTAATACATAGAGGGAGAGGAGAGAGAAAACCTTAACAGCAGCAGCAACAATTTGTGGAGGAGTTGCATAGGTACCAAGCCCAACAGAAGGAATTTTGGCTCCTGTATTTAACTCAAAACATTGCAAATTTCCCTCCATTTTTAATTCTAATTTCTGAATTTTTCATAGAAATTAAGATAAATTAATCCAAAAAATTGTACTATTAATAGAATTGCTTGGGGACTGAAGAATTGATGAGAGAGAATGTAAGATAAGAAAATCACGTTATTCTCGTGAGGTTGAGCGATGACTTCAATGTAGGCGTGATTCTCGTGGAAATTATATAGAGAAATTTATGTTAATTTCTTACCAGCTCTAGATGAACTTTGAGTTGAGTTTTTTTTTTTTTTTTTTTTTGTGAGAAAGTAGTTGAGTATTGTTTTTGGCTTTTACTTCATAAAAAAAAATTTGCACAAACCTGATCTACAATAATATTATTATAATCCAAAATTTATACTCTTGAAACTGACGTTATATATAGAATATAGTGATTAGTGACCCTAAATTTAACATGGTAGCCTTATTTTTAACATAGTAATTCCCATTAAACTAGTGTGACACTCAATATAGTATTATTGTGAACCTGAAGAACAACGTTAGGTTAAAAAAGACGACCCTAATTTTAACGTAGTAAGTAGTAGTCTTTATTATTTATATTGATCTATATATATAAAAAAAAAAATCATTAAAAAAATAAATAAATAAAATAACCATTTATAATAACATAATGACATTTATTTCAATATAATAAATTAATAACCTTTATTTTGATATAATGACTTTTTTTTTATTATAAAACAACCATAATATCTCTAATATTATAGTAGGTTTTGTGTGTGGCTAGCCACACAGTGTGGCCAGTTAACACACATATAGACACACAGTATGGCCAGTTAACACACATATAAACCCCGATCGAGTAATCCCCGACTGATTTAGTAACCCCTGGCCGATCTAATAATAACCCCTGATCGACCTAGTAACCCCTGATCAAGTAACCCCTTCGACCTAGTAACCCCCGACCAACTTAGAAACATCTGATCGACTAACCCCTGACCGACCTAGTAACTCCCGACCAACTTAGAAACCCCAAAACCAAGTGTAGACACCCAAATGTGTCTCCCCAAAATCAAACCCGGTGATGAATACCTTTCACGTCATTTGATTATCGAACAAAGAAAAAGTGTAAAAAGTCTAGTGATGAGGATGTTTTTATTAAAATATCTCTTCTTTCTGTTTTTGAAAATATTTCTTTTCTTACTTTATTTATGAAAAACGTGCATTCCAATTTAGTTTAGTTCATAATATGGGTCCAATAATGGTGTAGTTGGATAGGATTTGAAAAGACCTTTCCAACGATATATTATAAGCCCAATTCCGATGAATAATGAGGAAGTTATGACCAAAATACTAAACTAGGCCCGGTTTGGTTTTTATATGCGGCCCAATGATCTAGGGGAGGGCCTATTATTAATTATCAGTCCTAAAGGTATTAGGATTGATTATAGTATTCTAGAATACTCTAGAAGGTTCTTTTAAATCCTAATGGAGTTAGGATTGATGATTATGTTTCAAAGAGTTTGAAATTGAATAAAACTACTCTTTTTAAGAATCCTTGTTTTGTACGAAGTGGAATATATTCAGATTTAATTTTTTGCCTCATAATCTTTATCCAAATTTTATATGGTTGGATAGATTTTAAAATTATCTTTCCAATAAGATATTATAATATTAAATCCGAGCTATAACGAAAAAGATATGAATGAGACATGAAACTCTATCCAAAACTGATACCCTTTCACTATTTCGGTCATATCTTTTTATCTAAAAATTATTTTAATCTAATTCTAATTGGGTTGAAAAGTAGACTTCAAGAGCTTTTCAACGACATATTATATTTCTTATTTGGACTTTTGGATCAAAAGATATGATAAAAACAAAAACGCGTGAAACTGATTATTAGCGCCTGACGCTAAGAATTAGCGCCTTGGCGACTGGCGCTAACCTTCAGCGCCTGGCGCTAACATTAGCGTCTGGCGCTAATCAAGTTTCATTTGCGTTAGAGCTCTGTTTTGATTTTTTATCTTTTTGACTGATTTTCTCTATAAATAGCGTTCTAAAAACTCCGTTTTCATTCACCAACTCTCATCAAGATCTTCTTGATTACTCTCTCTCTTTCTCTTTTCTAAACTAGCCTTCTCTCAAATATAAAAATTCAGCATTTATTAGATTTAGATACACCTAGTCATATTCGAAGTTGTCTTCGCCCTAGACGTGAAAGGTTTTAATTTCTGAGGGTTTGATCCCAAATCTCTATTTCAATTATTTAATTTAATTGTTTGATTATTATTTTCCTTGAAATTACTAACGTGTGTATTTTGTTATTAGAAAGAGGTACGAGGTATCCAAGTAAGTGCTTTAATTGTTTTATTTATATTATTATGTAGAAATCATGCTTAGATTGTTATTTTGATTCCTAGTATCATGTTTAGGATGTTTCTAGTATCATGTTAGGATGCTTTCTTTAATATGATATTTGGGGAGATTTTCTTATATCAATTATGATTTCTCCGATGCTTCCTATTTTCTTCCTAATATTTATGATCGTTAGTATCATGTTATGGTTAAAACTTTGATCTTTATTGCTTAGTGACATGCTAGGGCTTGTTATTAATCTTATTAGTATTATGATTATTTTAAATATTGTTATTATGATTATTAATTTATGATGATTATTTATTATGTTGCTTGATATATTTATTGTTATTGCTTGATCGCACCTTTTATGCATGTTTAAAGGAAATTTGTACTTGTAATCACGCTTAATAAGATAATTAATAATCTTGTTTAGGGTTAATATGATTATAATTCAAGTGATCGCCAATAATAGTTTTATTTGTGCATTAAATTCAACCAACATATATAAACAGGTTTAGGGTAATCCTATTGATTGCATGTTAGTCATAAAGCGCACATGAATACGATCAGAATAAAGTAGAGGCCTATTATTAGGGCAGGTTTAATCTCTTTTAGGTTGGATTTGTACCTTCATCCCCGAACCCTATTTGGTTCAAGACCTTATGGAGTTGACGATCTCTTGGATCGTTAAGGGGTGTAACCTTCACCTCGTGAACGGTTTACAAGTTCCTAAAAAAAACTTGTTGGCTACTCTTTTGCTCTATCTTCTTTCCCTTTGGACGCCACCGTACTTTAGTGTATGATCACAGTGGGGTTCAAGCTAGGGGATTAACGCTTGAAATATTCCCTACACCAAGTAACCCCTAACCCGACTTAGTAACTCCTGACCGACATAGTAGATTAAGTAACCCCAAAACAAAATTAGTTGTAGCAAACACCACCTTCGCACCTCACAACAACTCCTCCACTACATCTGACCACCATACCATCCTCACAACCTGCATCAATCTCAGGCCACCTGAACATCGAACTGAAGGATTTATGTCTTCGTCGTGTGCAATTACTAGATATATAAATGGATCAAATTATAGAGATAATTAAGTTCGGACATTTGGGTCATCGTTTTATCATAGTTAGAGGTACTAACGATCTTTGGGCTAGTAAAATAGCCCAAAGCCCAATTAGACGGATCTTATAAGGTCACACAAAGGGTCTAGATCGGGCACGAGATGACAAGGCCCATGACGGGCCTCATCCTCTAGTATGGCCGGCCATGTGGAGTAAGTTTGAGGGTTTTGGGCTTCCTAACCCTAGTCTAATTATAATGTGATTATAAATAGACTAGGTTCCTAGGGTTTGCATGTAAGTTGAATTCAGTTGATCAGTAAGATCAAATCCCGAATTAGCAAACATGAGACCTAACCCTCTCAAACTCTCCTATCTCTCACAGCTCTCTCTCTCTCCTCCTCGGCGCTGGTGTGGTGGTGGATCGTGGTGGTCGGCTTAGTCCAATAAAGGTGATGATTGCGGTTTTCCTCAATCACTCGACCAATCTAGTATTGGTGGACAGCTCGTTCGAAGCTCGTGGACTAAGTAGAGGAGCAACACTTGGGGCTTTATTCTCTCCCTGATTTGTCAATCAAATTGCTACGTGGAATTCACGCTTCAAAGGTATTATTATGTGTCTTGTGTGTTATGCATGTGATCTTGGGATAAGGTACTTAGCTTGATTGAATATGATTCATGATTTTCTGCCGTAATACCTATAAACTCCTACATGAAGAACCTTCTCCTATCTCACACATCCTCCATTGCACCTGACCACCGCACTTGACCACCTCATCTTCCTCACAACCCGTATCAATCTCAGGCCAGGCCACCTGACCCCCGCAACAACAACCTTATCCTATCTCACACATCTCACTAACCTCAAAATTGATGTCGCAATTCACAGCAGTCTCCTTCAAATCAGCAATTCACCACAAAGAAGATGAAGATGACGGTGGAGGTCACTAGTTCAGCCATGGAAACTTATTTAAAGAAGGAAATTGGAATAAAATTGATGCATTTGTACTTTTTTTGGTGTTTAGAGAGCCACAAGGGCGAGGGTGATGAGAATTGATCCCAAGATCATCTAAAATCGAGAGGGGAACTGTAGGCGTCGTTCGAAGTGCGCCTACGTAAAAGCATGTTGTGAATATGCTTGGCACTCATAGGAAGTGGGAATTGACATATACGATTAAGAACAAGGAAATTAGGGAGCCGCCAACAAGTTTTTTAGGAACTTGTAAACCGTTCACGGATCATAAAAGGCAACCACGATTAAGGGACAACGAAAGGCAACAACGATTGACCCGTGAAGGTTACACCCCATTCATAATCCATGAGATTACTAACTCCATATGGTTTGGAACCACGAAAGGAGGATCGAGGATGATGGTACGAAGTGAGTCATGGAGTCACACTCGCCCGTATTGGCCTCTACTCGATTCTTATAGTGAAAAATGATTCCTGCGATCTCAAAGGCATGCAAACAAATATTCAATTTGCTCCAAACTATTATTAGGCTAAATTAGTTGAATATTAATACAACATATAATTCTAAAATATTTGTGATCACTTGAATTAAGCAACAAGATTAAAAGGAACCTAAACCGGTTGTCCAAATTATCTTATTAGTCGTGATTTTCAATTACATATTCCCTTTAACATGCAATATGGTGATCATAAAATTAATAGAATAAACATTAATATTGGAAGCAATTTAACAATAATATCATTAGTCAAATCGAATAATAAATAAACCTAATCATGATACTAGCCATATAAAAATAATAAGTAATTAAATTAATTAATTACTCACATTCCGCGCGTTCCTTTTAATTGCTACATCATGAATAAATTGTTAGTAGCTTCAATAAAAATATAAATCAAATGGAAATTAAATTAAATAAATATATATTTGATTTGGTCCAAACCCTCAGTCAATTATACCTTTCACGCCTTGGTTTAAGTATAGAACTTTGGGTATTGTATGGACTCCTTGGAGTGCTTAAGAAAGAAATGATAGAATAGGGAGGCTAGTGTTTAGGATAAAGAGGGAGAAAAGAGTTTTTGATGAT